TGATACGTTGCTCGGATCCCGCATAGGACTCTGTAAATAAAATCCAGAGAATTGCTACCCAATTTTAGGATTACTCGACGGAGTGTTTACGAAATCAGTTGCAGGCAAACACACTGTTTCAAGCCTGCTCTCCCTCCAGCACTTGACAACCTTCCACCTACTACACAGATCATGACAGCAAAGACGGTTCTTATCACCGGTAGCACACGCGGCATCGGCCTCGAGTTTGCCAACCATTTCACCAAAGCTGGATGGAAAGTCATTGGCGTTGCTCGCAATGGCAGCACGGCGAAAGAGGTAAGTTGTGTCAAAAGTTGAAAATACCCTCCAGATCCCTTTCTAACGTTAATTCTCTGGAACCAGTTAAAATCTCTGTCGCCGCTTAAAGTTATAAGCTTCGACTGCACCGACGAGAAGTCGATTGTTCAGGCAGCACAGGAACTCGAGGGGATCCCCATCGATCTGCTTATCAACAATGCAGGCATTTTCATGGGTGGTGGACTGAAGACCACGACTAAGGAGATGCTCATGCGCCAGTTCGAGGTGAATACGGTCGGTCCATTCCTGGTGACGCGTGCGCTGCTGCCGAATCTGAAGCTTGCGGCGAAGAAAAACGGCAGCGATGGAGCGTTAGTGGTCACCGTGTCATCTCAGATGGGCAGCATCACTGGCAACAAGGACGGAGGTAACTACAGCTACGGAGCGTCCAAGGCTGCGGTGAATATGGTGAATTCCAGCTTGGCCATTGACTTGAAGAAGGACAACATTGCCGCGATTGTCGTGCACCCGGGATATGTGGTGACCGACCTTACGGGAGGACTGGGCGATGTCAAAACGGACGAGAGCGTGCGTGGCATGACGAGAGTGATCGACAAGGTAACTATGGCCGATACAGGAAAGTTTTTCCACTTTCAGGGCCACGAGATGCCGTGGTGAATGCTGGGTTTTGTATGAGGGATGAGGACTCTTCGAAAGAAGTAGTGTATAGCTTTTATCGAAATAATAGAGCCAAATCTGCGGGACGTATCCGCTTGAATAAGAAGTATGCGAGCTCCAGCCACACCTATGCAGCTAAAGTTGAAAGGAATACTAGTTTACCGCTAGAGTGCCGTGCAGCACGACACGTTTCCGATCGATATTCAACTTTCACTCCTTATAATATACCGGTAGGAATGATAATTTCCTAAATATATTATAGGAAATTACAAAATGTATGTACTGGTGTGCAACCAACGTTTACGCACGAAGCAGTCCAACTCAATCGATGATTGGCTGAGCCGGTGCGTAACCGCTGCGACTTCCATCTCGGTAGGTTGACGCACGAAAGTTTTGCATGGCATGAGGAACAACCTTGACAACATTTTCATTCTTCAAATTTCCACGAACAACACACTTCAGCAACAAGCTTCATCAACAATGGCCGCCTCCAACAAAACTGTTCTTATTACGGGCGCCAACCGGGGAATCGGCCTCACCTTTGCCAAGCACTACACCAAGGCTGGCTGGAAGGTTATCGGCACGGCGCGTAACGTGAATTCGGCCAATGATCTCAAGGCTCTATCGCCGTTTAAGATTGTCCAGCTGGATACGACCGACGAAGCTTCGATCACCCGAATGGCCGAGGAGCTCGACGGTATTCCTATCGACCTGCTCATCAACAACGCCGGCATCCTCGAGCCAGGATCGTACGCTACAGCCACAAAGGAACATTTCATGCGCCACTTCGAGATCAACTCGGTGGGTCCGTTCCTCACTACGCGTGCACTGCACAACAATCTCAAGCTGGCTGCCGACGCCCACGGACTTGCGATCGTCGCTTCTGTCACGAGTCTCCTCGGAAGCATCGAGGCGAATCTGGATGGAGCCTTTGGCCCGCTGAAGAAAGTTTACTACGACAACCACAAGCTACCGAACGGCGAGATGTACGGCTACCGTGCATCCAAGACGGCGCTCAACATGATCAACGCCAATTTGGCTATGGACCTCAAGAAGGACAAGATCGCTGCTGTCGTGCTTCAACCGGGCTACGTGAAAACTGACCTGACCCACGACAACGGTGTCGTCGAGCCTGAAACATCCGTCGCCGGCATGACCAAGGTCCTGTCGGGTGTCCAACTCGAAGACACGTCCAAGTTCTACGACTTCCAGGGCCCCGAGCTGCCCTGGTAAAGCATTATACCCGCCAAAACACCGCGAATTCGTTAAATCAAAAGAATTCTTACTCGCAACATTTCTAATAAAAGCAATGCTTGAATCATTTGGAAGTGAAACGAACATGAAGTGCAAAGTAACCTGATAGGAACCATCTCCCACTCCCAAATTAATGTTATTCAGATTCAACTGTCCTAACTGATGCCTGATAAAACCCGGTATATTCCTATATTGCAATCCGCCGATGAGGTGGTTAGTAAAATGTAATGAGTACAGCCGATACCAGTTGAATACTATAAGTGATCCCCAATTCTGTAAATCTGATAGCATTTATCGAGCCTGAAAGAATCTTGTTACCGATATCTGAGTAGTGTTGGCTTCTTGTTCTCAGCAGGCAGTACCTCTTAGCTTATTATTCTCTCGATAACTACTCCATTACAGCATCTTCTTCAGCAGAATTGCAAACAAAGTCGTCAATGATAATTGAATCTCGAACTTGAAGACAATTCGAGCAGTCAATAATCTCTCTGCTCACTAGCTCATCCTCCTTCCGACGGGTTGATGTCATCCCAGCCACGATCTTAGTGTGTCGAAAGCAGTTTAACACAAGATCACCGACCTCGGCGTGACCCAGCCCGCGCCAGCACGATTTCATCCACCGCTTTGTTAAATACTCACCTACGTCGTAGATGTCACGAGTAAGACCTTCTTCTTTATCGAGCGTCTGTTGTAGTTGTCTGGATCGATATCGTCGCCTTAACAATGATGTCGGCTTCACGTGGCTGCAGCTTGGATGCTCTACTTTCAAATCTGATTTACTGCTATACCTGGTACGAAGAGCTGTTCACAGGTTCTATCAGGTATGCCAGGGTTTCCCTCCTCGATTAGTGATATGTCTAATGCAACCCCTGTATTATGAACTCCGTCGTGATCAAGTTAAGGATCTTATCGCCATCAACGAGACGTAGTGTCATCGCTACGCTCAGAAAAAGAAACTGTTGAGCCATCTCCTGAACTCAATCATTGGCTCACACTGGGATAATCTTCCACACCGCTCTTCTTCGTCAGCAGACATAGCATCGGTTCTTGGCGCCGTTCCCTTTGTGTTCGTGTTAGCAGTAACCGTGACATCGCTACATGTAGTAGTTTCAACCAACATGACCAACGCGAGTAAAGTCCCGAACCCGAATTTGGTCATACGCATGATCGATACTCTTGTCCTTCGCTGGATGGTTTAATTGACAAGTAGTTGTTAAATGCCATAGTTTAACGAAGCGACAGTCTCTTCGTAATGACTGATTAGTCAGCACTGATTGGTCTCTTTTAAGGCCGGCAAATACTAATCAGTGCTAACTAATCAGTTGGCTTGTGCAACATATACGGATTGGCCCAGCTAATACAACCCATAGAACAACTTTTGATCAAGATCCAGCACACCTGTAAGCGGAAAATCGCAAGGTAGTTAGCCGGTTAAGACAGCAGTCAAGTACAACCGGTGATTCACCGATTGCCCTGTTTTACCATCTGCTGTCACAGTTATACCACGTACAAATTTGTGTTCGAAAGCAGGTAGTCGAGCAGCTCTGCGATTGCTGGAAGCGAGTACGTGTCGAGCGACATCTCCATCACCAGTCGGAAGCCTCTGGCGGAATCATCGTCCATGTATACCTTGCTGTCCCTTAAAAACACTTGGCTTCCATCGCTCTTCAACTTGAGCGGATTGTGCGGTGGGATCTGGAAAAAGTAGTGCAGCTCTTCCTGCTGCAGTACGTTTGGTGTCGACGTCAAGTACCCAATGCTGAACTCCACGTAGAATTCCTTTGACCGTGAAAATATACGGACGCTGCCTTCGATGATGTTTGGGCGTGACGGATCCCGAGGAGGTAGCATGTAGTACTCGGCTAGCTCTGGGCCAATAGTTTTGGCCTTTGCAGTCTCGAAAATGCCCTCGAGAATCTGCACTGTGTCGTCAACATAGACGACCTCTTCATGGCTGATATTAGGTGGAGGATTGTCCTTCTTCGCTTGCATCAGACGTCCAGTGGATGTCTTCCCAGCTCTCTCATCTGGAGTTACGTCCTCCGTCATCATAGTGCAGAAACTCAGTAAGGAAGTCTGTTTACACATGTGACGGTGAACTCGTTTCCAATGAACTCGCTGACAATCACTCGAGCAGTACTTGACCGCCTTACAGGCGCCACAAGCTGACAGACCCTCACCGAAGTAGGGTGGATCACCACAAGCTGCGCAAAGCATCCCGTTTTCCATGTACTTGTTGTGTCTCAACTGACATAACTCGAAGGCCAGCGCCTGTGATGAGCACTTGAGCACGTAAATGACCACATCCTGTCCATACACGTCGCCCTCCATCGGTACGGCAAGTGCTCGTCGATCGATCATCTCCAGTGACGGTGGCCGACGCCAAAACACCAGCACCGAGTTGTCCGCTTCAGCTCCATCGATAGCTTTTGCAGCGTCGAACACGGCACTTAACGGTGAGGTAGTGTGCTCCACGCGTAAAGTCCAGCGCTGGTTGATTACTGTCCACAGCGACAACACCGTGTGGTTCTTCGCTTTCGTAATGTCAACAATGGCTCCCGCGAAGTGAAACTTCGGCGCTGTCAGCTCCTGTAGATCAGCGCTTGTTTTTAGACTCGGAGTAGAAGTACTTACAGCAGTCTCCGTGTTCTTCTCAGCCGTGGATTTCTTCTTCTTTTTGCTCTTCTTCTTCTTTCCGTTCCTGGTGCTGCTAGCATGTCGTGACTGTCTGTGAGGCTGCAGAAAATCAAACACCATTTCCTCGTTGCAATCCTGACACGAAACAGTCCGCCGCGGACACTTGGATAACTTGTGGCCAAGCAACTGAGTCGGCTTGATCTTGGTCGTACAGAATCCACACTCGATCATATTCTGCGCCATAATACTCGCAATCACTGACGACTCGATGTACCCATTCTTCTTCATACCAGACCGAAGTGTTTCCTTGGCAGTATCGTGCAGAACTCGAGGGAAGAAAGCAGGAAAGCGGATGGCGACAGACTCGGCCATTTGTCCCAGTTCATGGTAGACTGTAGCCATGGCATTGTTGTACTTCTTGAAGTACAACGCACCGATTGAATAGTACGCGTCCGGTATAAATCGTTCGTCAGGAGGATTATTATCGACATATTCTTTGTAGACAGCCAGCGCTGGATCAATCATGCCCAAGCCGATCATCGGCGCAGCGAACCAGTACAACCAGTCCGGTTTCTTTTCGATTGCTAAAGCTGCTTCCATGGCGTCCATAGCGTCATTGTAGCGTTTGAGCGTCAGATACGCCGCGCCCAAGTAAAAATGAAAAGAAGCTTCATTCGGATGCAGCTTCACGCATCGCTTCCAGTGCAGAATAACGTCTTGGTCACTCATCATCTCCCACCTACCGATCACATACGCCGCATCGATATCTCTGGGATTGATCTGGAGACTTACGGCTGCTTCCTTCAGCACCTTCGGCAGCAGGTCAGCAGACCCGGCAGTGGTCGTAAACATAGCTTTCGGTCGTTCCCAGAGTAAATCCGCCTTCTTTAAGTCCCGCAGAGCGCTTTTGATTTCCCCAGAAGCAAGGAGTTTACTCGCATTTCCAACCAGCCTTCCAGATTCTAAATATTTACACGCGGTGATGCCTCCATTCTTCGCACGAGCTTGAATCTCAGAGTCAATGACAGCCGAAGGCGGTCTATAAATGCCACTCCAGCCCATGTGATCCGAGGAAGACGTGGCTTTAGGAGTGTACGAGCTTACCTTGGTGATCTTTATCTCTCCTCCGTCACTGTCAACAGCGTCAAAGGCGCTCTCTCCGTTACTCGTCTCGTCCAAATACGCGTCATAGAACTGCTGAAACACTTCTTTCCCCCGCTGGGAAGCTTTAGGATTACTAGCAAATTTGTCTGCTATTTCACCGCCTCCAAATGCAGTGGCACCCACGTCAGCGAAATCATGTTTCATCAAGAGGTCTGTGAGTCGGTTCTGACTTGCAGTAAGAGACCATTGCCGCGCTTGCGTCTCATCTCGTCTCCCCCCGTATCCCTTTTCGAACAACTGGGCTAGATACTGCTGCGCTTCGGGTAGTCCGTGCTGTGCTGCGCGTGACGTCCACATCCGCGCTGCAAACGCATTGGCCGCAGTTCCTCTTCCGGCTGAGTATGCAAGGGCGACATTGTACTGACCCAAAGGGAAGTCGTGCTCTGCTGACCTCAAGAAGAAGTGGAAAGACTTCGTCGGGTCTGCTGCCACGACTGAAGCAGGGATGCCGTCGCGATAGCAAACGCCCAGTTCGTTTTCAGCTTCAGCCACGCCTTGGTGCGGGAACACGCGATTTCCCGGCGGTTTGATGAATGGACGCAGCGATGCTGCCTTGTGGAAACATTCCAGCATTCTGTGTGGGTCCGCAGTCAACGGCATTCCTTTGCGTACACTGCTACTGTAGAGCACACCAAGACGGAACCAGGCCTCCGCAACGCCAGCTTCTCCGGCCTTACGGAGGTTTGTCATACCCTCTTTAACCAACTGCTCCAAGGGCAACTTCGACCTGCCAGGCATCCCAATGCTATCAGTGACTTGAAGTAGAGCTTTCGCTGCCACAACAAGACTCTCCATGCCTTGCTGGTACATCTCCAGTCTTCGAGAACCGCGCGTGTGAACCTCGACCCACTTCGCAGGAACTTCCTGATAATTGATCATCGGTACCAACTCCATCTCCGGAGCGGTATTCTTAACCGTGTTTTTCTTCTTCTTAGCCTTGTTCTTGCCTGTAATCGCATCCTCCATAGCCTTCGCTGCAGCTGCTGCATTGGCTGCCTCAACCTTCGCTCTCTCCTCCATTTCGATTCGTTTCTTCTCCTTCTCGTACGCAGCTTTCTCCTCTTTAATCATCGTCTCGGCAGTGCGTTTTCTACTCTTTAACACCACATCTCCAGGCTCCAGCTCCAGTCCTTGGTCGCAGATCTCCTTGGCCTCGTCAAAGTCCTTCATCCCCATCAGCGTTTCCGACAGCAACCTGTAGTACTTGATGTTCTTGTAATTATCCGCTTCCAACGCGTTCTCTGCGTCTTCCCGGGCGCGGCTGAACTTCTTCAGCCTCAAATAACACCTCGCTCTATTACCATACAGCACGGCCTGGTTCGGCGCTACTACTAAACCCTGCGAGTATGCCTCAATAGCTTCAGTATAGTCTCCCTCCTTAAAATAATCGTTGCCAATGAGCTTCAGCTCCATCCACAGAGGCTCCTCGTTCTCGTCCCCGTCATAAAGATACTCATGCTGTAGAATCTGGTCCAACGATGCTACGGGCGGCATCAATACTTCGCTCCCCCCGCTCTTGCTGTCTTGTTCTTGCCTTTTATCCTGGTTTTCTACCTGTGTTCCCTCATTTTGGGCCTCTTGCTTCTTGCCCAGAGGCGAAAATGACAATAACTTGGCCACGAGCTCCTTAATCTGTTGTCTGATAGTCGAGTTACACTCGATAATGTCTGCAAGTCTCTGGAATGTGGCGATGGCCGCCTCGTATTGGTCCAGAGTCATGTGGCTCTGATGCGACACTTTGTTCCGGTACATGAGAGCACGCTGCACGACGCCCGGCAGCTCCGGGTCCAGTCCGTAGTACCTTAAGTGACTGTGCCAGTGTTGCCGCAGATATTTGAGCTGGAACGACAGGTCTGCTTGCTGTTCAGGACTCAGATTGGAGACGTCGAGAGTGTTGGTCACTCGTCCGGAGTTCCGTGTGGGCCGCTCAGCGTCGCTGCGAGCCACGCGCTCCTTCTGGAAGGCCACGAACTTGACCAGCTCCGGATGCACCATGCTCATGACGGCCTGCAGGCAGCCGGCAGCGATGGCGCTGTTCGCCAGCGTCTCGATGGACGCGTCCATCTCGGCCATCGGGTGCGGAATGCCGATCGACAATGTCAGATCAGGTTGAAATATATATTAAATATATTTACTACATTCTGATTGGTTTGTTTTGGAAGCGGTATTTGACTTGGGTTTGTATTGAAACACGCACTTATTGGCTGTTCCATTCTGGAGAAAACAAAATGAACGTTGGATACCTTGAATTATGCTAAATACATGTGATTTAACGAATTCGCGGTGTTTTGGTGGGTAGTATACTCTACCAGGGCAAATCGAGGCCCTGGAAGCCGTAGAACTTGGACGCATCATTGCCCGCGAAGCAGGGCCGCGTGGTATTCGCGTAGGTGGGCCCATCGCCGAGCTCCATAGCGAGTCTCGCATTGCACAGGCCAGGTCAGAGAATCGATGTGTAGGGTATTTTAGGACAGCTTTTGGACAGAACTGATGTACGTAGTGTTTTGCAAAGGTGAGACCGAGTCCACGGGTTGCGCCTGTGATATGTAGAATCGTATTGACGGCAGACATTGCTTATAAGCTGGCTGACCGCTTAGCCGGCAGAGTTTTGAAGTTTTGAAGTTTTGGTGAATAATGAAGTAGTAATACTTTCGCGCACTTCAACCAACGGTTTATTTGGGCGTGAGCTCGTCTCCTTATTGAAATTGTGGAGGCTCTTAAGACGGTGTTCCCTCCGCACCGTGTGTATTCGTCACTCAGAGAATGTTCATGTACACTATTAAAACAGCTTAGCAAGCACAAGCTTGGATACCTTGCGGTGCTTGATGGCGACTGCTCTATTCTGCAATATTCAAGCAAGAACCGCACTCTCACGGTTTCGACGCGAAGACTACGTTCAAGGGCGTCATCATCGCTAATAACATCTACGCGCGCAACACAGCGGAAGGAGGTTTACGCACAGGCGCTGCCGACCTGGTTGGATTCGGTCGTCTCTACATCACAAACCCAGACTTGGCGGAGCGTTTCCAGAACGACTGGTCCGTGGAGCCGATGGCTGGACACGAGGTGTACAAGAACTCGGCACTTGGAGGTAAGTTCTACAACGACTACCCGTCATACCAATTCAAGAACTAGCTAAGCCGAGATAGGTGCGAGCGGTTGTTTGCCAATAATGTTTGGTGAATTTATCACGACGTTGAAGGTTTTCAAATGTCAAAGATATGCGCCAATACACATCGTGGTGAGTGACAACAGGACTACATGCGCTTTCCCTCGCATGCTTTGGGCCGGGTCGTTGAAATGAAGGACAGCACAAGGCACTTTATACTGGCAGCACTTTTGTCAGACACGATGACCACTGGCCAGTAAGCGCCGATGAATCTATCAAGTGGACGACGGTCGACTAGAAAACGAACGATCTCAGGAAACCTTGACATGTTCTGAACATCTCGACGCGCGTACAGCGGACCCCGTTGGCTAGGAAAGGATACGTGTAGAGGCGTTTCGATGCTTGTAACCTGACAAAGCGTGCCTGACTGGTTATCAGACCGCATCGTTCAGCATTGCGCCCTCACACGATGATCACTTTCCATTCTTCCATCGAGTGGATAACCACCAGTCTACCTGGTACCTTCACCAAGCTGCACACTAGCTGCCTGCACCATGGTCTTCTTCAATCAACTCGCCAAGGTCGCACTTGCACTACTCGCTTTACCTGCCCTCGCTGCTCATGCTGACTCCAGCACATGCGAAATCACCGACTCCGATGCGTGTGCCATCGACTCTCTCACCGCCTCCACCGACGACGGGAGTGTACTCATCTACCCTGGTGGTGACACTCGCTGCGCCTTCGACGACTACACGGATACCGTGACGACCTTTACGTCGAACTCGACGTACTTCTTCCAGGTGTTTCCTGCTGCCAGCCAGGACAAGAAGAAGCTGCTGCTTTTCTTCCAAGGTGGCGGCGCGTGTGTCGACAAGTATACATGTGACTTCGCGTTGCAGTGTCAACTCGGCTCCAGCGCTCTGATCACCACCAAGGCGTCCGTGACGGACACAGGTATCATGAACCGTACTTTGGAAGGCAACGTCTTCAACGACTACAATATCGTATACCTTCCGTACTGCACGGGCGACTTGTTCGTTGGCAACAAGTATCTGGAGTCGTATGAGAGTGTATATAACCAGGCTTTGGGTAACCAACAGTGTTTGGGTCAGAACCAAGGCATGTACATGAACGGGTATAACAACACGATGGCAGTGTTGAAGTGGGCGTTAACCAATTACCCAGACCCGGAGCAGATTGTGATTGGCGGCTACAGTGCTGGCTCGTTGGCCGCTCAGATGTGGTCTGCGTTCGTAGCGAAGACTTGGGAGGTGGAGTCGAAATCTACCAAGTTCCAGGTGATGGCGGACAGTTATGTGGGCGTGTTCCCTGAGTACAAGACCCCCGGAAGCGAACTGATCAACTACTACGGTGGGTGTGGTCTAGTTGACTTCCCAGATGCGATGGTGTCGAGATGTGAGGCGGAGACAGCTACAGTCATTGAAATGGTGAGTTCGCTTATGAACGAGGCACCGAGCGGTGAGTGGCTCTTTATTGACAGCATTGCCGACAAGACCCAGCGCAAGTTTTACGAGCTGGTGCTGTTGGGTATTGCTGGTTACCCGTTCACGAATCTTTTGCCTGTTGATGAGTTCTACGGTAATATGACGGAGATCTTGGACGCTTACTCGTTGATCATGAACGTGACTCGCTTCAATATCGATAGTGAACAGCACGTGTGGCTAACTGGCAACGATTTCTCAACTGTGAAAGACCTGGAGGGTGAATATCTGGGCGATGTTTTGAGTTCATGGTTGTCATATTCATCCACTCCTGCGCCCACGACTGCTGCTCCGACCTCGACTCCGGAGCCAACTACGGTCATACCAGTGAGCACTTCGACGTCAAAGCCAAGCAGTGCTGCCTCCACAACGAAGCCAACCTCAACAACGCCCGCTCCGCAGAATTCCAAGCCTTTGACTCCGCCGCAGCAAGCGCAACAAGAGCAGATAGCTCAGCAGCTACAGCCTCTGAAGGAACTGATGTGCTCCATTATGTCGCAGTTCCACATCCAAGCACCTCTTTGCTAGATTGAATGGCAGGATAAAGCTCAAGCCAGGTTTTTTTTTTTTATTAATACTAAGCGCGAGCTACAAGCACAACCCAACCGCTTTTGTCACTTGCAATGGTTGATAGTTTAGTAGAAGAACAGTTGAGTCCTGTACACAAGATGCCCAACCTAGAAGTGGGTAGTAACTACGGTAAGATGTACGATCTTCACGACTTGAGTGAAGAAGGCCATGCTATACAGGTTATTGCTCGGATAGCAACTGAAAATGAGAATTGGCCGGATTACAAGTGCAGCCGAGCCCGACTCACAGATTTTCGTGCAGGGCAAGTTGCCGTGGTTTCCAACAATCGTACTTTACCGAACGTATACATGCCCTGGTATACTTCAGTGGAGAATACGGACACTGTCGCTAAATGACAGCGTCATTTTTCTTTTGCACGCTGCAAGTGGTTGAAGGGATTGCGGTTGATATGCACCGCTAGTGACTGCTGCGAGTACTTATCGTGCGCAACAGTGGGAACAAAATGTGGCATTTGCTATCTGTACGCCACATGGATTGCGTGTATCGTTCTCGTACCAGTAAACGATGACGTCAATCAATCGTGTTGACGAAATGCGTCATCGATTCATAACACTATCGTTTCATTCTCGAAAATACTCCCAAACGCCTCCAGCGATAACCAAAGCACCACTTCCGGCGTCAAAAGATGAGCGCCAAGACCGTCCTAATCACCGGAAGCAACCGCGGCATTGGTCTCGCCTTCACCAAGCACTACGCCGCCAACGGCTGGAACGTCATTGCTGCCGTTCGGGACACCCACAGTGCCACCGACGTACGTCAAATACTGTAGTCTCGCTAGAATTCTAGTTATCTGATACCATGGTTTTTTTTATTCATGCAAACGCAGCTCAACAAGATCAAACTGGAGAAAATCCTTCAGATCGACACAAGTGACGAGGAGTCAATCACGGCGGCTGCCCAACAACTCAAAGGCCAGCCCATCGATCTGTTGATCAACAACGCCGGTGTCGGTGGTGGAGGTGGCATTGACCAGACCACCAAGGCCGAAATGATGAAGCAGTTCGAAATCAACGCTGTGGGTCCATTTCTCACGACGCGAGCCTTCCTACCAAATTTGAAGCTGGCGGTGGCCAAGAGCGGTTTTGCCATTGTTAGCCAAGTGACGTCTCGCATGGGAAGCATAGCTGACAACGGCTCGGGCGGCATGTACGGGTACCGCGCGTCCAAGACGGCGCTCAACATGGTGAGCTCGAGTCTGGCACACGACCTGAAGGACGAGAAGATCATTGCACTGGCACTGCATCCCGGGTACGTGGTGACCCGAATGACTGGCCATACGGGCCAGACCACTCCCGACGACAGTGTCGCTGGCATGACAAAGATCATCGCTGAGGCCACTCCAGAGGACAGCGGCAAGTTCTTCCACTTCAACGGCAGCAACCTCCCGTGGTAAGTCAAGTCTCTCGAGAAGAGCTGCGGTACTGGTATCGTACGCACACAGAGAGACTACCGATCAAGTGTTGATGAACAATAACACAAAAAAAACATCCCGCAGAATTTTTTTTGTTTTGAACCCATCCGCCTGGCTCACCGGATTGTAGCCATTTGCGTCATCCATTTTTTAATTCGTTACTTGTGATCACTTTCTCTTTATGGCAATCTTTCGGTGCGATTCTCCATGACTTCACTTCGTTCCGTCATGTCAAACTCCGACAATGTCTTGCGGCGCCTAGCCGTATCACTTCTTGAAGCACTTCCAGCTACACAAGCTCACCAAGAACCACCTCACCGACCTCACCTTAGTCACGTACTCCACTAAGAAGACCGTTTTCATCACCGGTGGCACTCGCAGCATCGGTCTCAACTTTGTTGATCAAAACTGGTTGGAAGGTCATCGGCACGGCTCGCGCCAACAGCAACACTGACAAGATACGCTACGTTGTACTAAAACCTGATCAAATCGGTGGTAGATGTCTGGTTTTCTCACCATTATTAATAATGTTACGATCGGTGTTGCAGCTGAAAGAGCCTTTTCTCCCTCAAAATTGTTGCTATGGATATGGGTGACGAGGCCTCCATCCTCGAGGCAGTCTACTCGAAGGGCAGCCAATCGACCTGCTCATCAACAATGCCGGTATTGGCCCACAGTGATGCGTTCGTTGTGAAGATCCCGTCACTTCTCGGCAGCATTGGCAGCTACACTAAAGACATACAAATTCCTTCAAGCAAGCAGCGTATGGCTATTCGAATTCCAAATCCGTGCTCAATAATCGCTTGCATTCGATCTGCAGCCGAATGACACCGTGGTCGTGTCGGTGCACCCTGGATCCGCGGACAAGGATATGACCCAGGGCAGGCCTCGTTGAAGCCCGAGGACAGCGTGACGGCCATAACCAATCTCATCACCAAGCTGAACCCTGAGAGCACGGGTAAGTTCTTCAACCTGGACGCGTAGATCCCTGTTATCTAACTTCCGTGGTAGACGTAGTCAGCGACACGAGTGTCCACGGTTCTTTTCGGACTTACGATGAAAAAGCTTAATGCTTCGAACTGTTATTCTCTGAAATTAAACTTGGTTTTACATGTATGCGGTACACAATGACTGTATTATTATACCGTTCAGCAGAAAATATTTAAATTGGACAGATACACTTTTGCTCGATCCTAATGGCGCAACAATGATAGGTAAAGTTGTTTTAGCTGCGGTTCTTGTATTAATACTGTAATAGCTTATAGTGGCGCTCGAAGGACGAAGCGAAGCGTCGTAAATCTCGTCTCGTTAGTACATGCACAAATGCAGTAACGAGTCGTTGATTACAGTAGACAATGCCTATTTCAACATTTAGTATTGACTCAGTACTATTGGGCTACTCACACTACCCGGATCCGGCATAGTGTATACAGATCCGCTCCGACATGCTACCACGCAGCAATTCCGAGTCATACAAGCTTCAGCATTGGTATACCAGCTGATACACCAGCACATGGTATACTATTGCCTCTTTTCTGTCGATTTCCGGAATAGTGAGAACTTAACGAACTTAAGGTATACTTCTCTGTCCCACCAATTTATTGACATTTTCGTTTTTTGTGTCCTACACCAAAGTGTTAAATGCATTCTATTGGGCAAAATTATAAGGGGTAGGGCTTAAGTAAATGACTGGCGCTTGGAGCTAATTCTTGGTCACGGAAGTAAAGCAGCATAAAAGAAATCGAACTCGCCAACATGCCTCGCACCACCGGAGCTCACGATATCAAGCCTGAAACTCGCGTAGCGGTGGCGATCTTCCTTACTACGCTAAGTAAAGAAGGTCGTCTCTGCTACGGCACCATAAGTGCGCACGACCTTTGCGTCAAGCAAAGTCATACCGACTTCGATTTCTACAAGTGTTGAAAATGTAGAAAATGGCTACAAATCCTTGACAGCCCAAATTCTAAATCAATAGTGGTATTAATTTTGTTTTTCATAAATTTATGCTTTTTGTGAGTAAATCCGGACGTAATTATGTGTTGATGATTGATTGGAAGAAAATCATCTGTGATTTGACGCATATCAGCATAACGGTCTCAAAAAACCTCAATTAAATAGAGTCCAATAACGAGTGTTATATGCGCCTTCAATACAATCCCTGCTACACACGGTACTAGCAAATCAGACTGAACGTTTGAGAAAAATCTGAATAATAATGGCTAATTTTTCGCAGAATTACGAAAAAAAAACGTTTCTCCTCCCTAAAATGAACTCACAAATGCTTCGTTATTTGCTAGTGCAGTGTTGTTATCAAATAAAATAAAATACTACAAGAATCTCCGTGTCACACTCGATTCAGAGATACTGTATTTTTCTCTATCCTGTACCTGAGTGCTGCATTAACTTCCTTTATGTGAAATGACGATAAATTGGTGGGACAGAGAAGTACCGGAACCGGGTAGTGTGAACTCCCCACTGCGACCCAATGTGCGCGCGAGCGTCGGCACATAGAGCAATGTCCACAGGCCTCGCACCGCTTCCACATCGCACGCTCTGAGTAGAAACTGGTACTGGCTGCTTTGGAAAAATGTCGTTTTGTTTGGTAGCGGCCAAACCAAATAAAACTATTTCAAAGTGCTCGGTTAGTAGTGAATGTGATAAAAGCTACAACAGCCCACACTGGATTTACTTCAAAATCACGAAGCTGGATAGCCTTTATGCGGTAGCTGAAAGTTCGACGGAAGTAAAAATGACTGCATTAGCTTTCAATTGTGACTGAGGGACATCATAATCATATTCATTGTATGTGTATTAACACGATTTTGACGTTTTCGCCTCGCGCTGTGCATTGGAGTGTCAAGGAAAGGATTCAAGGTCGATGTGGTGAATTTACAAGGACGGTTGTCATGATCGGCTTCGAGATTCGAGCAAAGAGATGTGAGTGACCAGTTTGGTCGAGTACAAGAGCATCGACTACATATATATTAAGTTTGCACACCGACAACGAAATCACATTTGCTCGAGGGATTTTCACCTTGAATACATGTACTGACGTGAGGACTATGTGCATTTAATAGTTTTCAACAAGACCGATGGTTGATTTTAATAACTGATTGCACAACGCTTTGTTGGTCATGCTTAAACACACACAAGTAATTCATTATTTGTTCGTGTGCCCGGACCACAGCGCTCGCATTGTCTGTGTATATAAGACAGCTTTCATATCACACAATAAGTCGTGCTTTGCCCGAAGTACCTCTGACAACATTCTACACATACTCTTCGATGGCCAGAAGTTCCTTTGATGGGACATCGCCTGCGCCTTTTTCGCAGCCGCAGCCTCTTAAAAATAGAACATGTTTGCTTCCTTGTTTGTTAGTGAATTCCGTATTTGGTTGAGAGTCACAGATATCATTTCATTTTCAAATTATAAAACAAGTTAGCTAACATTTTTTTTCACTTTATTAATCTATAACACATATTGATGCCCACGGCCATCACTGCTCTACCTCACGTGATATTTGGATCAATCTTTCATGGCTTTGTATGAAACAAACTATCTTTTCACTTAATAGGAAAAGTATGGTCGCCATTTCGCAAAATAATCTCCATGAAAAAGTTAATTCTGCCCCCCTTATATCTCGTGATTGTGTTAATTTCACATGTTAGCGGTATATTGAAAGGCCGATATCTCCGCTATAATAACTGTGGAAACTACTATGTTTTGGGACGCCACAAATTTTGTGTATCTATCCACGTTTTGACATTTTCCCCATGCGATGGTGATGGAAATCACACGCCACGTCTAATCTGGAAAGGTGGGATCAGTAGAGACTGCGAGACTGCATGGTTCGCGCAGATGGTACCTAGATAGATGCAAATATACCCCAATTTGAGATTTCATAGAGCAGAGCTTTCTCTTAGATGACCTATGTCCTAGCCAATCACATTGCTTACTTCCACCAGCTCATCATTTGAGATCTCGTAAATGGCACTTGCTAATGTACCAAAGCAGAGGCATGATAGCTGCAAATACCGACCGAGATGTCATGCTCACCAGGCCAGACTCAGATAGAACGAGGGCGACCGGGTTGGGAAAAGCTTCTAAACAGCATTTGTGCGTTTCAATCTGGTTCTAGAGGACAACGTGGAGGGCCAGCTTCTGGTGCACCCGGTCAGAGACATCGAGACTCTTGAAGCCTCGACAGAGGACGGTGATGATGAGTTATAACTGCAGGAAGTGCGTACCAGTATTTTATGTCCTCGTAGCTGTTTGTCCTGAACATGGTAGCGGTAGTGTTTCTCGATTGACATTTTCTTACCTGTTCACCTCATGTACATGGACAATAACACGACTTCGATCTTTATATGGCACTACTCCGTTTCATATCACTTGTCCCCCTTTTGCGATGCAGGCTCGGGATTTGTCAATATTACACGAAAGGCCTCGGATTGGCCTTAAATGCAAGCTGGAGTCGATGCGATTTCAATGGTGTGCAGAGCTTCTGCTACCAACCAATACTCGATCCCTGGCAGCAACTCGAGTACATTTCGAGCCAAAATAGTGGCAAACTGGCACAGATGTCGCCCATCCTAGTTCATATCTGGAGTATTCAGAAACTAACCACTGATCGCCATGGAGACTAACCAGCGCACAAGATGAGAACTGCCACCACGAGAGCAGGCCGTTTCGAGATACTGGCTCGCTCAGATGCTAACAAACCTCGACGCGGGGCAATGAAGGAGGTTGGGCACCTCCTTCGTGTCCACAAGAAACTGTTTCGTGGACGAGGCGCCGTCCATGAAGCAGAAGTGCGGTAGTAAACCTCTCGACCTGAGCACCGCGCTAGAACGCCTTCGCCATGTAGAGCTGCAGTGCACAATGGAGTCGTGCATACGGATAGATGGTGAAAACACCTACAAGCTTGCACGCATGTCGAAAGCAAAGACTTCCCTTGAGCATTCCGTGCTCTGTCTATACTGTCTCGGTTATGCATAGGTTAGGTAGCGTCACACCATCAAACCATAATTAAAAATAAATGTAATTGAGGGACAAGCATTTTGAAACAGGCTTAGACTTGAAGGGGACAAGTAATATGAAACGGAGTAGTATCACTTATGAAATATCAAATTCGGTAAGGGCTTTCCAGCTCTCTAGTATTTTGGGGGAAATATAAAGTAAACAGTTAACCCCTTGCAAATTGCAAGCTGCAATAGTCCAACGATGGGTCTTTCAAGGACCATTTCTGGACTATCTTTTGGCTCATTGATACTTTAAAACTCTTAGGACTCATTAAATCCAGCTATATTTTCCAAAATCGTCAGCAACTCTATTCTATGCATTTTTGAGTATTCGTATTGTCAAACTCAAATTTCACCTTTAAAATGTTAAGAAAAACACAAATGCTGAATAATGTGCAATGGTGATTTGGCGGAGAGTGCTCTTTCCGCCATATCTTTCGCGTTTGAAGAACTTTTTTTTCGCGCTCAAACCAGTGTTGAAAAGAGGGGATCAAACCGCGTCGATTGCACTAACCAACGTCTCAGAACCCAGAAGAAACTGCACTTTGCCATATGGATCTTGTTGCATTTATTACAGACCAGAGGAAGTATATGGATATAGAAATGGTGTAGATTCTGATGTTCGTTTTTTTCTTTTCCAATTGGCAGTCGGTTTGGAGCTTCAAACGCTCAAAAAGAAGGTATTTGATCTAGCAAAACTTTCGGGAAATTAAATTGGTCACTAGACCCAGCCCATGTGGATTTTATGATAGGGCAGAGGATGGTTGTCCAATCAGATGCAATCGACCTGACATTCAGCTGTTATCAAAACAAACGATACCTACTCGGAAAAAGCTCTAGCTTTCGTTCTAAACTACCGACAAGAGTAAAACTGGTGTCAGTTGAGAGCTTAAACACTTGACTACAGGCTTGCATTGTCCGTCAGTTTCTCAGTTGGTAGACTGCTTCCCTTAGTGGACGTTTTTATCGGTACTCACAATCCTGACCTGCTCTTCCTCTTACAGATATCATCATTTAGTTATTCGAAAAGCGCTCCTTGGTAGGCAATAGATCCACCACCAAATAGACCATGAGATAAGGATTAGAATGCTGGTCGCCCCTTCATTTGCGGACGAAAATTGACGACAGGACAGCCCAAAACGGGAGAAATGATACAGTTTTTGGATCAACTATTATGACGCAGACAAGAGTTGTGCAGAGCAACTTCAAGTATCATGTTGCAGATCGGTATAGTCCGCAACACAATCTTGATATGGCAGACAATAACGCAATATATTCAGATTTCTACTTTATCGAGGTCAGTGAAAAAAAAATACTTGATTACGGTAAATATTTCGTAATACGAGTGCAACTTTGTAGACCCGAACCGGACCACGTCTGAATGTTAGGTTCGCCCGCTTGCAAAGCAAGCACAAGTGTTGCGTTTTGCATGGACCTTCGAAAAGCGCTCAGTTTGGCCAGTACTTGTTCAGGTTCATTCACCAATTCGCGCGTCGAGCCCCATATCTTCGCTGTTTCCGACCTATTATGCGGCTGAGTACCATCCTGCTGGCCATTACAGTCGCTGCTCTCGCTAGCGCCAGTGGTGCGTCGACGACCGACCTCTCTAAGACCGCTTCCATCAAGCTTGAACACTCGTCTGTTGCCGCTCAGGCCAATATCAATGTCCACCGACGTTTGAGAAAGCATGATAGCCAACTCGATCGACGTGCAATCAGCGAAGAGAGAGCGAACATTGGGACCTTGTTGTCGGAGAATATGGCCAAACTGAAGGCCTTTTTAAGCAAGGTTGACGAGATGGACGTCAAGGCAGCGCAGATGATCAAGGGCAAAACCGTAGAGGAATCGAAAGAAGTCCTCACCAAACTTTGGGACGACATATTGCCCCTGCTGCAAGGGATGGAGAAGCAGGGAATCACTTCTCAAAATCTAGCAAAGCACTCCACGTTCAAGAAGCTATCGAAACAGGAAGCTAACTACCTGACGAAGTATTTCAAGGTGTATTGGAAGACTTTCAAGGGCAACAATGTCTGAAAGGCTCGTCCAAACACCTGAAAGGAGGGCGAAGAATGAGAAAGAAGCGTAACTAGACATACCGGTAGATCAGATGCTATCTTGTAATTGATTTTACGGTTTCGGTCATGGTTTTGCTGTGAGCATGAAATGTGCACTGTGCAGCGCTTGTTCTTACCGCTAACCTTAATACTAGTGTCTAGCTCAAACTGGTTTTTTTTCCCGCTAAACCTTTCTGTCTAGCGTACCAACAGTCTGAGACCAGATAGTTTGGTGTGAAGATGGCAACATGTTGGCAGCGGGTAAAAACCAATTAATGAAGAAATATACTAGCAGTAGTTCTTGTACACGAATTAGAGCTAGTGAACGAGCCCTCATCACTAAACCATCGCATGTACAATTTTACGGTATGAAGCCGAGTCAACATGCTAGGTACGTCTCCACGCAAAGCAAACACTCACCAGGTAAGCAGACAGGTGTCTCAATAATAGATTTTTTTGCGACCACTACACGTGCCTAGTATGTCGAGAATCAGGTGTAGGATAATGCGTCCTAAGACACGTCCTAAAGTGTCCTATTTGTCCTAAATTTAACAGGAAGATTTTGGAGATGTGTCCTAAAAAGCGACTAATCCTTCGTTATAGAATAATATATTTTGTGTCCTCCAGATTGTCCTAAAACTCAAATATTGATTTTTTTCAGACTATCTACGTAAATTTATATAAGAGTTACTTAGTACTCACATTAGCGTTATTTATTGTCCAGAGGCACACTACCAACCATTTATCAATCTCCTCCACGGCAGCTAAGCACCATGGACCATCGCGGCTACTCCTTCTGCATCAAGCGCTCGTGTCCTGAAACGAGCACTGTCTACTACGTCTGCAAGAGGTTCCGCAAAGGATGCAAGGCAAAGATAACTGTCCGATCAGGTGCAGTTGTAGCAGACGGGGCTCTACATACGTGCGACGTGGCGGTGCCACATGTCATTGATGTGCGCAGCGAAATGCGCCTAGAGTTATAGCGACGCAGCGTCAGCAACATGACTACCCCTCCACCAGTTGTCTGGCAAGGGGTGTACGACGGGATCAAGCGCCTCCACGCTGCCGACGACGTCACGCTCACTGTGACGGGGTCACACAGCACCTTGTGCAGAGGAAGTTTATTTCCTCTAGAGTATACAAACTCTAAGTGAACGACCATTCACGTGTCCCTGGTCTGAAGGGGACGAAGTACTCACTTGAGGGTACGATTAAGACTGAATGTATTTATAGGTAAACTTAGCTTGGTATCTAATACAAACTATAAGTTACCTATACTGAATCTAGGTAGATATGCAATGATTGGCTCCTAGAGCCCCTGGTACCATGTACCAGGTATTACAAGATTGACTGGTCACTCTTCATGTAATTTGGGTACACTTGGGGTTTTGTCCCCGTTACACTACCCACCATCGCTACGGCTTGGTTTTCACTTTGCATTACGTCAAGGCTGGTTGGAACGTCATCGGCACGGCACGTACCAACAACAACGCGGAGAAGGTATTTCACGTTGTGTCGCGTTAGTGAATGTTAGATGGAAGCCCTTACTCAGCATTTCTCTTATCTGTACATTATGCAGCTGAATGCGCTTGCTCCTTTCAAGATCGTCGTTATAGATACAAGTGACGAAACCTCCATCCTGGAGGCAGCTCGTCAGCTGGAGGGACAACCCATCGATCTGCTCATCAACAACGCCGGTATTGGTATCCCCAGCGAGCTCGAGACTGGCACCAAGGACGCGCTCTTGAAGAATTCGAAGTGAATACCGCCGGGCCATTCCTCGTGACGCGTACGCTGCTGCCTAATCTGCAGCTTGCAGCGAAACCCAACGGCGGCGCCTCCGTCGTGCAGCTCTCGTCATACCTCGGAAGTATCGGCAGCTACACGACCGAGACCACGGGCTTCTTTAAGCAGGTTGGTTATGGATATTCGTCCTCCAAGGCCGTACTCAACATGATCACTCGATCTCTAGCGTTCGACCTGAAGCCAAGCGGCGTCGTTGTCGTGTCGGTGCGCCCTGGTTACGTGGACAGGAACATGACCCAGGACAAGACCCGAGGGCTGCGTGACGGCCATGGCCAGTCTCATCGGCAAGCTAAACCATGAGAGCACGGGTAAAAACCTGCAACCTAGACCCGCATACGTAGAGAATGCGACCCTGCCATTTAAGAGCGTAGATTACATCCATGGTTGATATGGTTTTGCGGTTTGCGTGCTCTGCGTACTCCACAGCATCTTGCAGAAGGCATAACAGGAATACTTTAGTGCAGATCTCGATTCCTCGTACACAAGTGCAGACATGCGCATGACTCCAGCACGACGAGCCAGACGGCGAATGGATTTTCTACTGATCCCCTGAATGTTGTCGCGCAAGATGAAGCGATGACGCTTAGAGCTACCTTTGCCGATCCCCTTCACTCCTTTCCCACGTCCAGACATCCGACCTATAACTGCAACGCAAGTATTTTAAACAGCTTCATATCATGAATACCTCGTACCTGCACGGCAAGCTCCTGCAATCAGCATCAAAAGTAGCGAAATGAAATGACAGTTTAGAGCATGTAGTCGTGAATGCGATGGACGGGCTGGTGGTGATGGTGGTGCAACTATGTCCTGTTTTCCTTTTAAAAGATAAAAAAACTAGCATCTGATTTCAACTTGGTAATATCACCACCTCACATCAATTTCCACCCGATTATATATTTTTCTGAACGTCAAACTAGAGAGCCAGTTGTATTTCTGCACAGCGTCGACCCGACGCAGTATCTTGTGCCGTAACGCCATCGCCGTCTTCTCACTAGAAGTGACGGTGAATCCCTTCTTCTTTCGGGCCGCCGAATAAAGCCTTGTGAACTTCCGCTTCAGACTAACACTAGTACGGCCAAGCCTCTTGGAGTCCTTGCTACTGTTGTATACTGCTGCGAGTTATTCCCACTCGGTCTTCTGTCGCGGCAAGCGCTCAGCAACAACCGCGAGCAACCGCAAGCAACCGCTCTTGATCAGCATCACTGTAGTTAGCTGCCCCCTGCAGTTTAGGCATCTATCACAGCACTAAACGTTAGCCGATTCATCTGAACAGCCTCGCGTGCTCGATAGAGCTTCTATACCTCGGCGTGCAATTCTCGAATGAGGTGGTCGAGGTGGTCTTTCAGCCACCGCTCAGAAGTTCAAGTTGCTCATCCTGCGCCGCGAAACGCCCACCACGTGCAGATGCAGCAGCCGCACCTGCCACGAATTGCTGGGAATGCTTGGCCGCCTCGCCGAAAGGTGCTCACTGCGTCGCCTGCATGAAACAACGCACGTTGAGCTCCGAAAATGTTCAGCAGAACGGGTAGAGCTCATTCTCACCTTCGACGACCACAATTGAGACTGAATGGCGATGGCTAGCCGCGGGCGTCACCATCCTTGACGTTGAAGTCCTTTAACCTTTTGAAAGTGAAAAGGGACCCGTCGGATCTCAGTGCTCGGACCAGTGCGGTTCACATGAGTTTTTTTTTTTTTTTTTTTTTTTTTACTGAAGTACCGTTGAACAGTTCTGTCTTGCTACCCAACGGTAGTTTACTGAAGTACCGCTTTACAGTTCTGTCTTGCTACCCGATGGCAGTTCACCCAATCAGTTTCAAATATTAGCCAATCAATATCGACTTGGCCGGGCAAATATCGGTATTTTTCGAGAAAGTACCGTGGTAACCACTGTACTGCTTCAGATCGAATAAAGCATAATCTTCGAACTGCGAACAAACCGGTTCCATACTGTAGACATTATGCCTTCCACAAGGCTAGGGGTTAAGTGTCTTGGGATGCGTATTTGCTCCGTTATGTAGCCGGTATGTACCGGCAGTACCGAAGCCTACCAATTAACAAGGATATATACTCCAGAGTAAAACCGGTATGTATAGACAGTATCGACACACGCGCAATAATCTGGCTAGCCAGAACTAAAGTGCTTCCTATCCCAGTAAAAGCATCATTTAATTGAATGTAACATGTTTAATATTGACTTTCTTTTATAATGGCCAATGACGTGCAAGGGACGCGCTCGCACGAACAACACAAGCAAATCAGCGAGGTGCTTGCGTAGGCGGACTGAGCGCGGATCCCTTAGCGGCTGTGCGTTGCTTCCGTCTGGCATAAAATCGGTATTAGGAAATTGATTTAGTTTTTGGACAGAAATCCGACACTCACATGCATCGTCAACGACGGAGATATTATAACCCCAAAACTACTTCAACGAGCGTTGATATCACAAGTAAACGAACTCTTGAACATTTAACACCTATACTGACATATCTGAACCATCGTGATGATCTGTAAGCGTGAGAGCTGCTTCTTTGGCGGTTACACACACCGAAGAAAAGTAGCCTCACACCGCTTAATTCTCGTATCTACCCCCCCCCGCCACCACAAACACACACACAAAAGAAGCCTTGCTTTCGAGAAAGTGATGCTATGGACACGTTGGTGACATCGATCAGTATAGGGTCATCTTTTGCGCATGCTGTACTGGTTTGCGTTGACCTTTTAAAGCCACAATGGAAGCATTTAGCACATTTTGGACCTAATACCTCAAGGTACCAGCCATTTTCCGGCTGATATCTACGGATAATACCACTTAATTGGTAAAAAAAATAAGTGGAGGCAGGTCTGCAATAGAATTTTCAGTTATGACTTACTGAGATTCCAAGTGGCGGATGTCTGCAGGGCTTAATTCAGTGTCGCATGAGATGCGACCGCGAATCCTATCGTGTCAATGTACTGCCTGATGGCAGCAAATTGAGCGACTCCAGCTAGTTTGCCGGTTTTTATCATTAACCCCTTGGTTTTCAACGTCGTAAGTTACGACGAAACATCTTCGAACAATAGATAATGGCTCGAAATAAGAAAACCAATACTTTAATCAAGTCACTTTTTTTCTTTCTTAAAGTATAACCAGGTGGGGGTCGCACGGGCAATAGCAGAAATCAGATACGGTTAGGTTTCGAAAAGGCATGGAGCCCGTTGGCAGCTGATGATGATTCCTCATTCCAGAATTTCCCCGATGTCGCGCACCCGATCCACTGGCCATTCGAAACCTGCTGTTACTCCCCACGACATCGACTGCCGCATCTCTGGAGGTAGCTACGATGTAAGGAAGCGTCTTGTGTAGCTCGATGGCAAAAGAAAAGTTTGCTTTATTGATAACTTAGAGTCCTAACTGCGACCTTGTATTTCTAACCGCAACCTTGCAGTCCGAAATTCAAGTTTCAATCTTAAGTTTTCTAAGCCACATTATTGGCTGAAATGTAAAGTAGAAATTGTCATCTGAAATTTCCTAGCAGATATTACCCAGCAGACGAAGGATAATATCCAACAGACGGTTACGTCACACGACCTCCTTTTGAAAGAAGGCGATTACTTCTGTGGGCAATTCGGTGCGATATGGCCGATCTTCTTGCATCGGTGACATTGCGCCGTTTTCTCCGTCGGAAGAAGTCGAGAAGGTGTTTCCGGTTGTTAATCCGTGGTCAAATCGGAGCGCCAACCCGATGGTCTCGTCTAGGTTGGTAGGATGGTGTTCCTTTGAGATAGTGACCCGTCTCTTTGCGGATCCCTTGCTGGAAATAAAAACGCAGTTCTAGTGGCGAAATTGGAATTTGACATTGCACCAAAATGTTTTGGAATTCTCCCACGTAGTCGTGGATAGGTCCAGTTTGTGTGAGTTTGCACAGCTTTTCACGTAGCATGTACTCGTTGCTTGGGGGTCGAAAACGCTTGCGTAACGCCGTCTTGAAGGTCACCCACGTGCGTACTGTGCCTGCCCGGTCACATTCTGCCACAAATTGGCGACTACTTCGCAGGGTGGCAGCTTCGGTTGTCGAGGGTCGATCCATTTGGGAACTTAATGTGTACTTCGGTATGCATGGGAGTTGGTGTCAAGTGACAGGACACCATGGTAACAAATCGGGCTGATTCTTCGGCCATCATCGTGCAGTAATCAGTATATTACTGCTCAATAGTAAAGAACCAGAGTTCCAAATCTCCAGTACCAAGCTCGCGTCGTTCGAAGCAGATCTAGGGTATATCCCGCTGAATCCGCTACAGCTTGCAGCGGAGCAATTCGATACGGTTGCAAAAAGACGTCGAGGCGCTGAGTTCCACGAGCGCAAAGCAGCTATTCTTCTTCACTGCCGTGAAACACTTCCTCAAACGCAAGACTTGAGCCAGGAGCTTCAGCAGCCAAGTCCCATGGGAAAGGAGCCACAGGAGCCCGTACAGGCGACGATAGAGTCACAGCAATAGCAGGAGCATCGACCATGGCAGCCGGAACAGGAGGGACTTCAGTAGGAGCAGGCGTCGTCGACGAACGAGCGCGAGAATGAGCATGAGCAAGGGAACCGAAGTCACTGTCGGGGTCCCAGTCGAGGCAGCTCGCAAGCAGCTCTTCGTCCGACGTGTGGGGCTCAGACAAAGCAAGCGAAGCCATGCCGGTTGGTGGTGCCACCAAAGAGTCGCTTAGAAGCACCACAGGATGTACGGTCGGCGAGCGAGGCGAGGGAGCGGCGGAAGCCGGGCTAGCAGCAGCAGCAGACGCATGAGGCACGGCCATCCTCCCGGACGAACCTATCCAAGCCCCAAGTAAACAGGCCCGCACAAGACAGGTGTAAGTAACTCGGGGTCAGCATAATCCGACGGGGAACGGCATCTCTGGTTAAAAGCCCAACTTCGGGAATGGCAAGACTGAGGGGACGCGCACGCCAGAGGGAGGGTGAGTGTATTAGATATGACAGGTGTAGAGTTGTAGCCAATCAGAGGCAGGCTCAATTTAACTTAGATTCACTATGCAATACAGAAAGGCAGATGTAGGGCTGCTGTGGAACCTTCTAGAAGGTTCCATCCGCCTGAACTGGGGGGGCGGCACTTCTCGTTTCGCGCGCCCTCCCGCAAGCTAGCGTTTCCTGAAACAGCATCAATGAACCTCGCCGAGAATCTTGGTTCCATTTCCGCAGCATAACTGCCTATCAGTCACTCGGCTATACTTGTGACCGGTGGTCTTGGCTTCATTGGCAGCTACGCAGTCAAGTATTTGGTTGCCAACGACTTCGGAAATTACTTGTTGTAGCTCTTTGATATCAAAAGGTCCATGAAGTGGTATCTCCGAGCATGTCCCGGGGAGGGTTCACAACTTCACCGAAGCAGGACGCCAACCTTTGAGGGTTGTCGACTCGAATAAATTGAATATTGGCCCCGCAAAATACGACACTACCAGCTCAATTGCTCTAGTTGAGACATAGCAGGAATTTAGCCAATCACATATTTAAATTCGAACATCGTATTGTAGCAACCTAAATGTTGTTACTAAAACCAAGTCTTACTGTTGGGCAGGACACCGTCATATTGAAGGCTTGCCGTGGCATATAATTATAAATATAAACTGTTTTTCTAACCTAATTTCATGAGTTACTTGAATGGCAATCAGTTTTTCACAACATGAGGACGGGGGTAGCCACTACCGGCTGCACGGGCTCCTACTCGGTTGCTAATTTCCTCAAGGACAGAACATCTCTAGATGGCCATATGTTTAAAATATGAATGGCTACTCTTTGCTGTCAACACCGTGACCACGGCTGTCAAGAATGAATTGAACGATGGCGGTACGGTATTAGGCAAACGTCTTCAGTCTTCTATCAACTAGCACCCTCTTCCGTGAGGTATATGTGCGGCATGGTAGTCAAGTCAACCGTCTAATTGTATTTGCATTCAACCAGACCCCAAAGTGGCTGTTTTACTGTCGAGATTGGGCGTTGACTGTTACAGTCGCTGCCCTCGCTAGCGCGAGCGGTGCGTCGTTAACCGACCTCTCCAAGACCGCTTCCATTAAGCTTGAACACTCATCTGTTGCCCCGGCGAATTTCAATGATCAGCGACGAAACATAATAGCCAACTCGATGGACACGTAGGCAGCGAAGAGAGAGCAAAGTTTGGGACCTGGCTGTCAGAGAATATGACCAAACTTAAGGCCTTTTTAAGCAAGGTTGACGAGATGGACGAGAAGGCAGCGCAGATGATCAAGGGCAAAACCGTAGAGGAATCGGGCGAGATCCTCACCAAACTTTGGGACGACGTATTGCCCCTGCTGGAAAACACGGAGGGAAAGGGAATCACTCCGCAAAATCTTGGAAATCACCCCACGTTCAAGAATTATCTAACGAGGAAGCTACCCACCTGAAGCAATATTTCGATTAGTATTGGAAGACTTTCAAGAGCAACAATATCTGAAAGGCTCGTCCAAGCTCCTGAAAGGAGGGTACGTGCGGCGAAGAAATGAGAAAGAAGCGTAATTTGCCCTCGGCTTTCATCTTGATACGGATTCTACGTTTTTTGTTTATCATTTTGCCGGGAGCATGAAATCTGCACCATGCAGCACTTGATCTTAATTCGAGGGTCTAACTCAAGCTGGGCTTTTAGACTTTCCTATCCAGCGTACAACAGAATGAGACCAGATAGTTCGGCACGAGGATGACAACATGTTGGAAAGGGGTAAATACAAATTTATGAAGAAGTATACTATTATTAGTAGTTTTGAACACAAAATAGAGCTAGTGAACGAGCGAATACGTGAAAATCTTCGTTGGGATGGTTAGCCAGCACTAAATTGATTCTTATATCAGTGAATCACATCTAATAACTTGGCCAAAAATACATATTATGCCAAATTATTTTAAATAAATGCCGTACTCCGACGGACGAACGGCACCTGTGCAGAGTTTAAAACGAAAAATGTAGTTAAGGACATAATTTGTTTTTAGTAGGGTGAGGCCGATAATATCGATTTTTGTGAAGTTACAACTTTGAAAATGCTTCTTTTTGTCAAGTAACTTATCTAGTGTAGCATACCCCATTTAAACATTAGACACTTACAATTTTATTTGTTTTTAAGAGATTTAACACACTGTCCTTTTTCCTCAAACTTGAATTCTCTGGATTTATATCCAGAGTCCTACCCGGATTGTAACAACGTTATAATCTTTTGAGTATTAATACCTAGGCTTAATTCGATATAGATACATCCCCGTTCTCTATATATTGGCTTGTTATATACGCTAAATTTTGGAAATTTATTCTATCCGTGACGGTAGACCCATCCGGAGAATACTACAATACAGTACCAGTTAGAACTTCCGTGTAAATTTGTAGCTTATACGATAGTTGGTGTTCGGGGGTGGCAACCATCCAGGAATCGCCACAGTTCAGCCGGCGAGAGCAACGCGACGTTGGCAAAACATTGCTGGTTGTGTCTGCGAATGGGGAATGCCTTACTTTACGGACGGACACACCTCGTGTTCTCATGGCTAACGACTATACGGTGATGCCTGGAGTACATGTATTTAATGGTCAGGGTGCTTACTGGTGCATAGCATGTTTTTCAACAGGTTAGAAATCCTTCTCTTATTGACACAAAGCACTTGTAACCATGCATGTACACATTCGTTTTGAGCTCAGGCAGTACTCGCAAACTACACTGAAAGAGTAAGCAGATGCTACGGCTGCGAAGCAGGCGCAGGAGATGCGCCGACGCCAGAGCGTACATCATGGGCATCCAGAACAAAAAAAAATAATATTTCCAAACAATCCAAGCGTGGCCCCAGAAGCGGGGCTATTGATGCAGGTTAAGGTCGATATGAAGTGTAACCTGCCTCGCGTTGCTCAACAAAATGTTGATTCTGAATAGACTGAACGAATATTTTATAGACAGTTGTTGCCTCCTCGCTTTTCTTGCCGGAGAGTACTTTAAGTTTATTTATACTACAGTGCGCGACATGTTGTTATGACCAGCCACATTTTTGGTCGTAGCTCCCTCAATTTTGCGAGTTGACGCTTGTTATCTAGATATGTTGTTTAGGACGTAATAGCGCTTTTGAGACTTGTTTAACGACGGCGATATCGCATTTTGAGAGGGGTCTAGTATATAAGCCACCACATTTGTGTCAGCGTCCATTAATAAGACCACCCAGCCCAATACAAACAACAAGACAAAAAGAGAAATGGCTACATCACTCCCAATCATTTATTCAGCTATTGCTACTAGTGCTCTACGCCTTTCATTCATTGTTCTGTCTCGATGGGGCTGTGGCCAGCACTATTGGATCAAGAGGAGGGAAGAATCAAAGGGCTGTACGAAGCTGGCTGCAGTGAGCGCGAAATTGATAGACGTGTTGGCCGCTCTCGTGGGGCTATTAGCCGCATAGTTTTTGGAAGTGAGAGAGATCCAAAAAGCATGGATCTGCTGCTGCTCTGATGGAGCGAGAGGTTCGCTTGCTGCTGCGCACAGCAGCCAAGGGCGACTAATGCAATAGGCGAAAAATATTTTTATGCTGGTGTTGACCTTACGATACCTTGAGCGGTCTTGGAACATCATTGATTTTCAAGTGACACTTATCGTGACGACGAATCTTTTTATTCCAATTTCGGAGCGCTTTCTCGAAGCGAAGTTTTTCATCACTAATAATAATATCGGTGTTTTCTAAGCAGCATCGCGTTAACGACGCCGTTTCTAGACCGTTTTAGTTATTGATTTGAACTACCTAGATGTGCCAGTATATTTTTTTATGACTCGACATTAGTATGCTTTCTCTTTCAAGTACAAACTCCGGATAGTCGGAAATAAGTCTGTATCACTTTTCTGAGAGCACGGTATTTGCCTTATGTCCGAGACAACAACAATGTTTTAATCCCACAAAACTCAGAGCTGTTCCGTACGAAGTACGGTTTTATGTTGTGCTTTGCAGATGGAATGCCGCTCCGTTTTATGGCCTGGCCGAGCATAGTCGGCGCATAAAAGCATGCGCAAAAATGAGACTGGAGAAAGCAGAACTAGATTTTTATTTAGATATGTACTCTAGGATGATAACTTCCAGCCAAGATGATAGTGCAAACGAGCTCCTAGTTGAGCAATAGAACCGTCTGCTGTCTTCACTATGTACTACGCTCGTTTTTTGTGTCTCGTTTACGAACTGGATATGGATACATTGTAGGATAACGGTATATCGACTGAATAGCACTTAAGTATGGGCTTTTCAGACCTCCAGATTTTTTTGGAGAATATAATGTACTACAGCTCAAAAAAAAATAACCATTTGGAAAACTTAGTCTAACGCTGGGTGCCCCGAGGCCCATTTCTGGATTTTTTTGGCTCATCTTTGGCAAAAACCAATCCTCAGATATCAATACTTTGAACCCCTATGCCTCGTTGCCAAAATTATCAACACGCCCAATCTATGGATTTTTGAGTGTAAACCCTAGATAATTATCAACACGCCCAATCTATGGATTTTTGAGTCTAAACCCTAGATAATTATCAACACGCCCAATCTATGGATTTTTGAGTCTAAACCCTAGATAATTTTGGCAACGAGGCATAGGGGTTCAAAGTATTGATATCTGAGGATTGGTTTTTGCCAAAGATGAGCCAAAAAAAATCCAGAAATGGGCCTCGGGGCACCCAGCGTTAGACTAAGTTTTCCAAATGGTTATTTTTTTTTTTTTGAGCTGTAGTACATTATATTCTCCAGATTCCCACTCGTCCCTCTCAAAGATCAAGGGAGGTCATCGAAAAAAAAAACAATACTCGCTGTTTATGGTTTTCGTAATACGAGTGCAGCACATCTGGACCACGTCCGGACGTTAGGTTTGCCCGCCAAAGAAACACACATAACGATGCGTTGCATTTCGCATGTATCTTCGACAGGATTCAATTCGAGATGTGAGCGTTCGGTTTGACCAGTAATTCGTCTTGTTCAGATTCATTCTCCAATTTGTGCGTCGAGCCCCAGATCGCCTCTGTTTACGATCTATTATGCGGCTGAGTACCATCCTGCTGACTGTTACAGTCGCTGCCCTCGCTAGCGCGAGCGGTGCTGCCACGACCGATCTCTCCAAGACCGCTTCCATGAAGCTTCAACACTCATCTGTTGCCGCTCAGGCCAATATCAATGTCCACCGACGTTTGAGAAAGCATGATAGCCAACTCGATCGACGTGCAGACAGCGAAGAGAGAGCAAACTTTGGGACCTGGCTGTCGGAGAATATGGCCAAACTTAAGGCCTTTGTAAGCAAGGTTGACGAGATGGACGAGAAGGCGGCGCAGATGATCAAGGGCAAAACCGTAGAGGAAGCCGAGGAAGTCCTCAACAAACTCACGGACGAATCACTACGTCTGTTTCAAGGGATGGAGAAGCAGGGGATTACCCCGCAAAACCTAGCAAAACACCCCACATTCAAGAAGCTGGGGGAAAAGGAAGCTAACTACCTGACGGAGTATTCGATTTGTATTCGAAGACTTTCAAGGGCAAAACTGCCTGAAAGGCTCGTCCAAGCTCCTGAAAGGAGGACGCGTGCGGCGAAGAATTGAGAAAGAAGCGTGACAGACATACTGATAGGGTTGGTGCTACCGTGTAATTTGCCCTCGGGTTTCTTCTATTTACGTTTTTGGTCATGGTTTGGCTGTGGTCATGCAATGTGCACTGTGCAGCTTTCGTTTGTCTTGGTAAGGGATATGCCAATTTGGGGCAAGTTCAAAAAGTCTTTTCTAGTTTTACAAGTATCTTTCGTTGTAGGACAAACAAATCGACACCAAGGGTACCAATCAGAACCTGTCGATTTGGTCGATTTTTCTATTTCCGAAACATCTAACAAATACTTAAACACAATAGATTCGATTAAAAATGGACACCAAGAGAATGATGGTCCTACCAAGTAGGTGCCGCTTTAAGTCACTTGATTTCACTAAGTAGATCGGACTCGTCTCTTATATGGTACGTTATACTGTGCGGTTGTAGCAGCAGCAGTAGTAATAGTAGTAGTAGTAGTAGTAGTAGTAGTAGTAGTAG